TCACATTTACACCTTGGTGAGTAACCGTTAGTCTCACAGTTCACCCCAAAGGACTAACATTTAGTCTCACATTTGTACCTTATAGAGCAACTGTTAATCTCTACATTTACACCTTACCGTGTAGCCGTTAGTCCTCACAGTTGCACCTTGCCGGACGAACAGTTGATCCACTCAAATACTCCAATCGGATGAAATTTTTGTCCCAGTTCAAACATTGTTTTTATTTCTTTTTTCCGCCAGGCCTAATACATTTTTCGCCTGTTTTTCTGCGCAGTGAGCAAAAAATTGCATAGAAAACACGCGAAAAAGTAGTTAGCCACCTATGTGTGACTGCTTTTGTTGTTGCCGTGACTGCTTTCGCAGTCACACCAACAACGAAAGACAAAATTGAGACATCGAAATCTTTTATTTTTCTACATACACATAAAGTTTCTCCATTATTTTAAGTGAATTCATGGTGAAGTATACAAGTCCAGTCTCGTTGTCAAATCTTGTTCACTCCTTGGGTAACTCCTCCGACGGAAGTGATAGATGACAGGCATTTCAGACACCAGTGCACGCAGCCTTCTGCCTGCTGTGTTCCCACGGCTGCACGTACAATAAGATAGTAAAAATAGTTAGACACACGCGACAGAAGATGAAGATGCACGCATATGACAAGCACGTGTACGTTAATAAAAACAAGCGTTAAATAATGACACAAATAACTTTACCTTCACATGTCAGACAGTCCTTCTGAAGCAGCTCTGACGAAAGAGATGGATGTCAGGCATCACAGATTGCCAGCGCACACAGTCGTCAGTACGGTGTGTGCAGACGGCTGCACAATAAGTATGTAAAATAGTAAGTCACACGTGACAGAGGGCCCCGCCGTGGTGGTCTAGTGGCTAAGGTACTCGGCTGCTGACCCGCAGGGCGCGGGTTCGAATCCCGGCTGCGGCGGCTGCATTTCCGATGGAGGCGGAAATGTTGTAGGCCCGTGTGCTCAGATTTGGGCGCACGTTAAAGAACCCCAGGTGGTCTAAATTTCCGGAGCCCTCCACTACGGCGTCTCTCATAATCATATAGTGGTTTTGGGACGTTAAACCCCACATATCAATCAAATCAACACGTGACAGAGGATGATTACAAATGCGTACGAGAAAGACGTGCAAGGAGAAATGAAAACATACGTGATATATGACATGCTAATAATTTCGCCGTAATGTCACACATCGTCAAAGACTCATTTCGATCCCCGTAGGGCAACAGCTTAGGAGCGGCGGCCGCAGTCACAACTCCGCAAACCACCGTGCCGCTAACAAGTCGGCGAGTCTTAAGCGAGTGACGTCATTCAGCTGGAGCAAGCGAACGCGAGACTAAACGCAGGCAACGTTCACACTGAGCATTCCGGCCGCCGAAAGTGCTCCGAATCCGGTTCGGCGGCGGCGAAGTCCACTGAAAGGGCCCTCTCCGCGCCGATCGCTCTCGGACCGATTTTTGCGGCGTCTGCCACCAAATCGGCTCGCCGCGAACCAATAGGGGGCGCTGGCCGAGAAACTTGAAGAAATGGTGGCCGAGAGCAACTCGTTTGTCATGTCGCAGTCGAGCAGCGTGCGCGTAGCTGAAATGCTAATCGAATTGGTGGGCAACCACCCCGTCCTGTACGATAAACGTCACCTAAAACACAAGGACAGCTTGCTGAAGGACGACTTATGGAGGAAAATCGGAAACGAGCTCGGAATGACTGGTAAGTACGAGTTTATTTGCCTATATAACTTTGCTCCTTATCGCGAACACTTTGTGCTGTGGAAGTACTCATGCTTCTCGTCCGCGTTGCAACGAACGTGGAAACGCACACGTACTGGCCGTTTGATCGTGCTCTTCAGTGCACTGTTTGATGTCAACAACGGAAATGCTAGACAGACATCGTGCTCATTGAACGATGGGCTCAGAGATGCAGGTGCGCTGCAGGGGAGACAGCGCGGGCATTGTGCACGTCTGTTTACCATCCTGCTTGCCCTGCGTTGTATTCACGAATACCGCATGAGTTCAATTTGATTTGACACCGAAAGACAGCACGTTTGTGCTGGCTTGACGCATTGTAAAGGCGCATCATTCGAAGCACGTTTGTGCTGAATTGAACACGGTAGCAACCTAATTTAAGGTCTACAAACGTCTCCCAATACGCTGCTTAGCTGGTTGAATAGGGCGTGTGTGGCTATACTTACCAAAAAGAAGTAATGAAAGCATAGGTGTTTTTTTAAAGCAGGTACACTCTGCAGCAGGTCCTCCCCTCCAGAAATAAAAATTTATAACTACGCGCAGGGTTGAAAAGAGCGCGCATTTTAACGAGCGAGTCATACAGCTACGTATACTTAAATTGTCCTGTGCATTACGTGCTGCTCTTTTGTCCCGTAAATATATGCAAGCAACTTACTGTTTTTTGAACCTAGCGACATTCACATTGTGTTGGTGTAAAGTTTTCAAGGATGTGAAAAGCATGCTTAATACGTAAACTGAATTCTTAACAGGAATGCAAGCACATGCAAAATTCAAGAACTTGAAAGACACCTTCACAAAACACAAGAACAAAATTCTGGTCTCCATAAAAAATGGTGCAGGGGCTGCAGATGTTCACAACGTCAAATGGGTGCATTTCGAGGCAATGATGTCCATGAGGGGTCCCATACTCAAAGAACCAATGTAAGCCAAATTTTGTGATCCTTTTTGTTTTTTATAAATCAATCATTGCAATGAAAGTGTACACAACTTCAAAAAAAACAACACAAAGACATAATGCTCTCCTGTATGAAGAACTGCCGGCCACAATTGCACATGCTAAAAAGAAAATCACAGTTTGTTTACTTGCACAACAAATCAAAAATTTGTTAATGCCCCTACAACGAAATACGTCAGCTGAGAACAAATATTGCAGCCACGATGAGCCAATAGAATGGTAGATCACTACTGCATAAGATTCTAAGCTTCGTAGTTATGTTGTTTAGCAATTCTCAGAGTGACACATCAGTAAACACGTACACACACAATGCAAAGCACAAAGTTAACAATTCATAGTTACTGATGCACTGTCCTCACTGCTTGTTGATGTCAAATAAGCTTAACAAATAAATCAGCATACTTTTATTTACAAAATCATGAAGATTACAATGAGGAAGCAATTACACCAGATGACATTAAGATATTTGATTAGTAAATGTTTATAAAAAGAACATAGCGTACTGCATAACTTGCTCACCGAAATTTTTTAAGACTTGATTGCTGTAGCATAACTAAAAAATGTTAATGTTTTCCAGCATTTCTACAAATGTAGGATTCATCAATCGTGACCGGTAAGTTGTAAGAAAGGTACTGAAATAATTTGCCAGCAGGAAAATGCGTGATATTGCTAAGAAGATGATGAAAACATTTGCTATCACCTAAAAAGCCATTTTCTGCATGCCTACCAAAGACGCTAACAATCAAATGAACGGGTGAAGGAATGAATGTGGTGAAAGTGAACGTTGTGAGGTGCCCTTTTTTATGAGTCAAGCAAATAGGGCTTGCAGTGCAAAAGCATGTCACCAGATAAAGTTAACATCACTTGTGCCTTCAGAAAATAAAGTTTAAGCAGTATCTCATCTCGTAATATTATCGTGCTTTTCGACATTAACCAACAATAATTATTTCTCATTGATAAAATTTACTTTCTCCACATCACAAATGTTTCACGCGAGTTCATCTTTCCGACGTTTCACATAGAGCATCAGGTGAGCGGAGTCCGGCGCCTGCAAGTAACAGCAGCAGTCGCAACGCAGAGGAGGGCCAGGTCGACTACGGCAACTATGTCACAGTCATCTTGGATGAATCGCTAGAACAGCCTGAATCTTCTTTCGGTGCAACACCTGCAAACACTGAGACAGACAGGTCACAGCAATTTTTTAACATAAAATATCTGAAGTGAAATGTTGCACGTTTCATTTTACTCTTTAGCTGTAATACAATATTCATGTACCCAACACCAATCTACTTTGTTGGTCAGACAGTGCAGAGGGCGAACAAAATACAAGGAAGCAGGCTGAGCGGTAAGTTGTTCTAACAGAAGCATGACAGCTTTTTTTTTATCCGGCATTCGCACTTGCTATATGTTACGATACTTCCCTTTCTTGGCGTTATGTCACTCAGTTTTCTTGTTTTTCACTTACAGGCCACGCAAGGTTCCAAGAATAGCGGCCAGGGGCGCAACGTAAGAACAAAAGCTCTGACAATGTAACGATCATGTGTCTAAAGTAGGCATTGCTTTTTTTCAGTTCATCAAAGACAATCTCCCACATGGACATCGCAAGCGAATGCCTTCAGCAACTGCGTGCCGTCAAGGCAGCACAGGAATCAAAGGAACAGCACGACCTTCCTTATTTTTTCGGCATGTCATTGGTGCAACAGCTGCGCTTCTTAAACTCCCACCAGCAGGTAGATGCTATAACAGCACTACAAGAAGTGATGCAAAAAAAATCAGTGAAGCAAGGCTTGAACTCGAATTCAGCAATTAGCTTTAAAATGTTCTCTAAAATTGGACTTCAAAGTGTTCTTTAAAATTGGACTTTAGTCTAATGCTTGCTTTTTTACAAGACTGGTTTATTTTTCATGAAAGTACACAAAATAACCTTGGATTGGATTTGTGGAATTTAACGTCCCAAAACCACCATATGATTATGAGAGACGCCGTAGTGGAGGGCTCTGTAAAATTTTGACTACGTGGGGTTCTTTAACGTGAACCCAAATCTGAGTACATGGGCCTACAACATTTCCGCCTCCATCGAAAATGCAGCTGCCGCAGCCGGGATTTGAACCCGCGAACTGCAGGTCAGTAGCAGAGAAACAAAATAAACTTGGTAAAGCAAGTGTAAAGATTTGTATTTTAGGAAAATAAAAATTTCACTTTTCGAGTGGCATCTCCCCTAGTTGAAAAACAAGGAAGGACGGAAAATAGGAGGAAAAGAACGGCAGGGAGGTTAACCAGACTATAGGTAGCCGGTTTGTAACCCTGTGCATGAGAGGGGCATGGGGGAGATAAGAGATAGAGCAAAGAGGGAAGAGAGATAAACACAGCACATTCGGCAGCACACGCGCGCACACTCAGTCATTGTCTAGTCTTGTCATACACTTTTCATGCATATAGTTGAAAAACAATATGCATGAAAAGTGTATGTAGCAAGTGTTTTGTCGCAGCTTTGTAAGTTGAGTTGATTCTGTTGGAGAAGTTGCTTGATGTGTATTGTGAATTGTAAAGAGCAGACCTCAGGACATACAGCAGAACACCTCTAGCTTTCATCTTTGTTTGAAGTCAGTATTTTCCTGTTTTGTGCTGCAACATAATGCACACTTTTTAAAACATCGTGGCAGTTGTGTCTACGTTTACAGAACCGTTTTAGTGTTTCATCATAGACATCACAAGGAAGATCAGGTTGTTTCTCTGTATGACTGTCATGATAACAATAAATGGTGCACTCACCACTGTACAGTCTTGTGTCCATTATCTTGCTCTCTTGCCAAGGCACCTTGCCGTTGGTGATGAAGTGCTTTGCCAGGAGGTCCCGCATTTCGTAAGCAAACCTGGGAGAAAAATTTCTAGACAGTGAAATACACTATATTACAGCACTGCAAATTACGCCGCTCATATGGATGAGCTTCTATTGTGGCTAATGCTAGTGCATGGCTTACAATTTAAGGGCCACCGTGAACCTTGCCACATGAAAATATGTTTACCTTGTGGCGTGGCAGCCAGTCTTGGGTAGAGATGGCAGAGCAGCACTGCTGGTGTCATCAGCCCTCCAGTTGCCTTCGGTGATGTTACCCTGCCAGTCAACCTGATCAGCTGTCCCTGGAGGGCAGTAGGCGCCCCGAGATGTCTCCGACTCTTTCATCATGAAATTGTGAAGGACCACGCATGCGGAGATAATTCGCCGGATGTTATCATCTTTGGCGTTAAAAAGACGCCGCAGGATACGTTATCTTTGAGCCATTATGCCAAATGCAATTTCTATCACTCGACGGGCTCGGCTTAGGCGGTAATTGAAAATCCTTTTGCTGTGTGCCTCCGCAAAGGTGATAGGTTCGCAGTTGGTTTTTTCTCCTTGAGATGCCTCTTCAGGTGTTGAAGTGAGGAACGGCTGAAGACCTGCATAAATGATTATCTCCGCACCTACATGAAAAACACGTCATCCTAATAGAGCTTCACAGTAACGCAGCACAGAACACATAGGCACACGATCAATGAACACACTGTGGCATGTTTTTGTTTCATGTTCATGAAAGTTGATCAAAAACATACTTCCACACAGAAAAGAAACGTACTTTCAAGGAGAACCGCCAATATGTGGTGAAGTGCTTTAGTGCCTCTAACATAAACCAATCACTGCGTTTAGTTATGGCATCATGTTTCGGCTGCTTGTCACTACAGTGAATCTGTGTACTGAACAGCCTCAGATTAATAGCATAGAGCAATGCACTCCAGTACTAAAAGAAATCAAAGGGGAAACTTGCCTTTCCGAGGATACGGCCGCATCAAGTATGTCTTCAAAGGAAATGCTTCATCTCCGACCAGGTAAAAAGGAATGCGGCCAATGTTTCCCAGTGGTGCATCAGGGGGAAATCCTTCATTCTTCGAAAAGATGATATAAGGCAGTTGGCTTTCGCTGAATACTCCACCATCTTAATTGCTCCCATGGTGCCCAATCTCCAGATAAATGAACCTGAAAATGTTAAAACATTATTTTATCAAGCACTAGCATGCATGTCTTTTATGATTGTTTACATGCAGAGGCCAAAACAAATAGATAGCAACCGTCCATGCAACTACCACGACCGCTGGAAGCTTTTTCATCCAGTGGCCGTGCAACTACAAAGCCTGAAATGTAACACCAGCTTTTTAAAGGCTAAAAATTACAGGACTGCTTTTTCACAATTTTACGTGCATTTACATGTACATACTGCCACTTTCTACTTTTGTTGCATCAAGAGTAAATAAACGTGTACCTGTAGCAGGCGTCGCTGACAGCAAGCATCGATTTACTGAAGAAGTGTTTGTAGTTATAGTCCTCACTTCCCGATTTGGCAGGGCATTCGATGGCGATGTGTTTTCCATCAATTGCACCCACACAGTGGGGCATGTTCCAACGTTCCTCAAACTCTTTTGCAATCTGATGGAATGAAAATATCGATAACGGCTTTTGTGGGAATAAGACACGTCATGTTTGTACAGCAAAAATTAAGGGACGTTGAACAGACAAGCCAAATGTTCCAGGTGCAACGTATGCAACATGCATTTATAACGTAAATTTTACCTGTAGCCACTCGCCTGCACTTGATGGACGGGCAACGTATATAGGACCAAGTACATCCCAGAGCACCTGGCACACTGTCGACACAATATAGCACGCTGTCGAACGACCATTTAAAAAGTTGAAAGATGAGCAACGAAGTGTTTCCCCTGCAGCCAAGAATCTGAGAAGAAATAAATGTAGAAGCAAGGAGAGCGCACGTTTTCATGGTGGTGCAGGATTTAAGTAATGAGAAAATGTCCATATTTAAAAAAATAAACGACACTCACAACATCCCCCTTTACGACATTTCGTCGGGTGGCTTTTTGCAGTTACGACTAGTTCTTAATGTTAATTAGCGAGACAAACCGAATGCCATGAAGTGCATGCACGTATATAAACAATGACCCTTTGACACTACGTAATGAAAAAACTATAATAAACATTGCGTGTACCAAGCTAGCCGCATATAACTGCGCGAAAAGTGTGAAATGCTTGCTCCTTACTTCACATTTCACAGCCACCCTAAGCAAATGAATGCTCTGGACGATTCATAAGGCGACCTTACCTCAAAGTTTGTGCAAGTCAGTGCTCGGGACTGATTGCCTTCCGGAAGTTGGTGTCCTTTTTTTCAATATGACGTTTCACAAGGTGCAACAGCGTGTCGAAAGTACGTGGAGGCATCCTGATGTATCTACGGAGATACAAATGGCACTGCGTGAAGTGCTACAAAACACCTATGCACCCAAGGGCACCTAAGAGAACGATGTAATCAGAGTTTAACTCACTCTCGGTAAAAATCCACGTCTCGATCTCGTAGAAGAGGTAGCAGTTTGTTGGCCTGACCAAGGTTGGCGCGTTCCTGCAAAGCAGGCTGGACCCACCAACGTCGCTGGCGTCGTCGTTGCTTCAGCGACGTTTTTTCCTCTTCTTTGTGCATTGCAAGGCTGCTGCTTGCCAGAAGAGCTAGCAGCACTGTTGCTTCTTGCTAATTTGACAGCATAGCGGATTAAGATAAGAGTTCAACCGCGCAAAACAAAAAGATCGAACTCGTCACGGGCGCACTGGTGTTGCGAGCCGCTGACAACATGCGGGGAACAGCTGATCCGTTCCGCGCTCGCCCCATAGTTTATTGTTCACTCGGCAGATGGCACGCTATGGCTATATTCCGTGAATGCGGCGGCGTGAGGCGCATCCAGTGCGAACAACGCTGCGTTTCGGCGGCAGGAGAATTTCGGTCGCTGTAAGGCCGCGTTCACACTGAGCATTCCGGCCGCCGAAAGTGCTCCGAATCCGGTTCGGTGGCGGCGAGATCCGCCGAAAGGGTCCTCTCCGCGCCGGTCGCTCTCAGACCGATTTTTGCGGCGTCTGCCGCCGAATCGGTCACCGCGGACCAACAGGAGCGCTAGTCAAGGAATTTTGAAAAATGGCGGCCAAGCCCTACTCATTTGTTTTGCCGCAGTGCACGTAACTGAATGTTGAAACCAACGGGAGTTTAACCTACTCTGTGCCTACTTCGCGTCCGTATTTCGTGGAAAAGGTGACCGAGCTTGCTGTTGGCGTGACCGAGCTTGTTGTGGTCTTGCAGAGCAAAACGAACCCACTAACGCCGCTGGCGTCGGTGGTTTTTCTGCTCTTCGTGCATTACAAGACAGCCACTTGCAGCAAAGTAAGCAGTACTGTTTTTTCTTGCTTCTTGCGTACGAGAATCGTCGAAGTATACACCACCGGATATCGTAGTAGCGTTTGCGAGCCGCGACAACAACCGGGTGACAGCGCATCCATCCCGCGTTCGCCCCGTAGTAGATGGCATATTCGGCGGCGCGGGGTGCGTCCAGTGCGAACGACGCTGCGTTTCGGTGGCAGGGGAATTTCGGTCGCTGTAGAAAGCGGATGTTTCAGTGTGAACTAGTCATAAAAAGCGGATGCTTCAGTGTGAACTAGGCATAAACACGGCGCTGCACGCGGAGTGTCTGCGGCCAGCGAACTTCGAACAGGAGAGCGAGCGTACGCTTGGCAGCCGCCACGAACAGCGCCGAGCTGGTTTGGAGCTAGCGCCGAAGAAATCGACGGTAATGCGGCCCTTTCCCACAAACTCGAGCGAGTGTAGCGCGCTAACGCGGGTCCGTCGCCGCGGCCAACAGACGGTGCCGAGCCGGCGGAGCTGCTTGCGACCAGCTGACGGGAAAGTAAACTGTAATGGCGACCAATTTTCAGTGTGTTCCGATGCTAGCGAATGCCCCGCCAGCCCATTCTGGTGCACTTAGAGCGCGCGACATACTACAACCAAGCTCTTTACGAAAACCCGCAACGTGTTTTCGACGACTCCCAACACAGCGACGAGGACTCAGCCCTATATCGTGAGCCCGGAGCTCATCGTGGTGGCGAAGACAGGCGAGCACTCGATGAGCGAGCGTGTGGGAGGCCGACGGCAATGGCGGCCGATTTCCAGGCTGTCGCAAAGCACAGGCGAACTGCAGACGCCGAAGCTGACCGCGATACATTTCGTGCGTGCAATATACAACACGACCGAACCCGTTGCCGGCAAGCGCGATCCGTATCGCACACACGACAAGTAGAGTAGAATAAAGAATGATAACCTACTTGCCTTAGAATCCAGCGCCGTTTTCCGCCCTGAGTCGGATTGAAGTATATATCCGATAGGCCTATTGTGTTCTCGGCCGCCATATTGGCCTTCCCAACTGTTGCTGTCGTGTGCTGGTCGTGACTATCTCGAAGCCAGAGATATACAGCGTAGCGTGGTGACGTGTCGAGACTTGCTCCAGAATTCATGGGTGCTGCGAAACTCAACAGCAGCAGCCCACACTCATCCAAGCGTACACACAAGCACCACGTCGTAATTCTTAGATCGTCAAATCCAGGCGGCCGTGGTGGAGCACTCCGAGCGCAACGCAACACGCCAACCGTCGCTGGCAAAATACGGTGAAAGACTAGCCAGCAGAGGAGGAGAAGGGAGGAGGAGGGTTGGGCACCTTAGCAACGCTTTTCGCGCTGCCTGCGATCCGCGGGCGGTTCATCCCTTTGGCGCGTGTGGTTTTGCGCTGCACGTATTCCCTCTGTGGTTGCTCCTCAACGGTCTATCCATTCATCGCGTGCACCTATTGGGCTCCTTTACTCCTTTTTCGGGTAATTTTGCCTTAGAGTGTCTCCTGTGTTCTCATGGCTGGTTTGTTCCTGTTTTTTTTTGCCTTTTACTTTTTAGAGAAGGATTTCCACCACTGTTGTCGTGTAATAAAGAACCAAAGCCTTAGACCATGCACTTTATCTTTTTATTCTAGTGCTGGTGTCTTAACCTCTTCTTTTGTGTCTTCTATATTGTCCTTGTTTATGCCGCCACCCATCCGCAATCATCAGCAGCATATTCTCAAGGGCCAAGGCGATCACTCGACAGTTGATTCTCGCTAACATATCTCCACATCATATCCTTTCTGAAGTCGTCTGTTGATCGTCTGTCCAGAGGCTAGTCGCAGGGTACACATGTGCGAAACCTTCCTTTCCCTGGTGCACTGAATGAAATTTCCCCATACTAGCAAACACGTGCTGTCGTAATGCACAAGCACCACGTCATATTCACGTAGCCACGCTAGATTATCAGGAGGACTGTCGTGCGCGAATTGAAGTAAAAGAAGCTAGGACAGGTTCCATCGGATCTATACATCCGCTGTGAGACGCTTACGACAGCGGCCGCGTTCAAGCATGCTCTGTCTTGTCAATGAAGTGCCATGCAGAAAGGCATCAAGCATACCACGCATTGCGAGAACGAGGTGAAACGGTGACAGTGGTAGCTATTTATCGGGATTGCAGTCAAGGTACAAGAGAGGTCCACTGTTAACGACCGCTTGAGCGTTGCTTATCCTTGTAGCGAGGCTCTCGGCATTCGGACTACTGCACCCAATTAAGTGACTGTCTCGATGTGTTTTTTGCTGATCGAACGATAGTCTCGGGCCTACCTCTCCAACAAAAATTTCCATCCCCCACGAACTTCCACTTGACGACTGGCTCACATTTGAAGACGATGAGTAGCTGTACAACATCAGCGTCGACTATTCTAGCCTCGAAGAGGACATCTTTCTGGGAGGGAAGACTTAATGTGTTCAGTCAAGCGCCAAATAATGCACGATTCTTATTGATGGCATTTGGGTGGATGGCTGCTTAATGGGGCATACAGTACAGATTCTCTATTGGCAGTAGTTCTTCAAATGGCTCCATACGATACGCGTTGACGTAGTCTCTCACTACCGTATCTTACTGCTTCAGATGTTCGGGCTGTTCGAACCTGTTAAATTCGCCTTCCGGACGGCGCTCAGATAACCTTCGATTTTTGCTGCCTGAAGGTATCCCTAGGTCTTCTAATATCAGAGGCATCGTAAAAAACCATCTAACTTTATGATGCCCTCTTCAATAACCTCAAGGTCTGGCAGAACCTTCTCCTTCTCCTGAACACGTGGCTTGATTCTAATGACGTCGAGACGTCGCATTTCAGAAGTATTGCAGTTAGGAAGGAAAGTCTTGCTGCAGATCAGGACTAGAATGCTAGTACATGTAGTTCCTGCTACTTCCATTGTTCTCTGAACAGTTCCTTCGAACTTCGTTTCTATGACAGTGAGATCGCTTCTCAAGTGATCAATTGTTCCAGTAGTGACCTTCGAGTACACATCGGAACCAAATATTACGCTCATATCTTCTTGGTGCCATGTGTCCGGATGAAAGCTGTCTGGAACGTCGTAGTTCTTCTTGCTCATAAGCTCCAAGGCTGCACTGCTGATCGGTGAGCTTGTGACCATGCACACTTTAGGTATCTCCAAGGCCTCCAATGTTACCGCTGGGTCGCTACAGTGAACTTAGAAAGTAAATGATGCCCAGCGACCAGGGGCGTAGCCAGAGTTTTTTTTTGAGGGGGGGGGGGGTGACACCTTTTTTATTTCTAGAGGAGCATCCACATGAAATTGTCATTTTCACTTTTTATGCCTTGGCGAAAAAAATTGGGGGGGGGGGGGCACCGGCCAGATGCTTTACCCCTCGATACTGCCCTGCCATCGACTGCGCATCACTTTCAGTACTTAGATTGGCCGAACGTAACCAAAGCAAGCTCCGCAGCCGTGAAAACCGGACATCTAGGTTCTTTGAGAGATCTTTTCGATTAAATGTGCGCTGGCTGTCACTATCGAAAAGAATGCGTACGAGATGCCCTCGCTATCCGCACGCCATTCACAATAGTCCTGTTTGCAGAACTCCGTTTACTCCAATCAGGGTACTCGGGGAGATATCACTGGAGGCGTCTCCTTGCATCGTTCGGTGATACATGGCTCATCCTGATCTACTGTGATCATGTTTGTGGGGGTTGGTGCAGCTGGCTTGAACTACTCGAAGAGGGTGGTCAAATGTCACCGATGGCACTTCCTACACATGATGCTCCCTGCATGTCGGCAAAAACGTGCCATGAGATTCCTCTTGCTGCCATGGTAGCAGCATTGAGCACTGCGCAAGTGAGCCCTTCTGTCACTTGCCGACCGCTGGACGTTGCATCCCGCGATGGGACCACGACAATCCTTACATAAGGGGCACGATTATTTTATAACGGCAATGAATTCAGCAGAAAGTACGGACGCTGTTAAAACATGTTCAACTGGCGCTGGTGGAGGTTGGGTGTCTTCTTCGGATAGCAAACACGAGAAAGCTGGCGTCTTCTTCTTGACTTGCCATACTTTATGAATGCGCTGGAAATGAAGCATTTCTTCAGCCTGGCAAGCTCTTTTTTCAGTGGTCACGATGCTAGACATATCTTGCGGCGCTTCCTTCACCTTCTGGCACTAGAGTATAGCGAGGTCTTCATGCAGGCACTTCATTAACCTGTGGTTGAC